TATTAGTTGATAAATATTTTAACGGATTGTCAAACCATACTGTATCTAAATCAGCAGTGACAAAATGATAACCGAATTTGAGTACAGACATGAGAAAATCCGTTCGGTATTTCATTATCGATTGAAACTCGTAGGTGCCATAGTCGAAATTCTTCTTCTTTCGAACATTTGATAGAACTTGTCTATGGGTTATATGAACTGGTTGACCGGCCAGCTTCAGTTGCTGATAGGATTCCAAGTCCTCAGCTAATAGTAAATAATTGTGAAAAGCAATTTGCCGTGCCCAACAAAGCTAGAAAATAATACATTTCAATTTAGTAATGCCTCTCGTCCTCCGTCCACATATTATAGTGTAATGTTAAGATGACACATTAATTCCTGTTGAATAGTTGAGCTGAGTTACATAAATACGTCTGTATAGTTTTACATATCTACATTTAAGATTTGTGTTGACCTTTCTATAATTCTTGGATTTTCAGGTTCTTTTATGGACTATACTCCTCCATCAGAAACGTTCAGCAACCGGTTCTTCGTTCACTGCTAGAAATACACTACGTGTTTTTCTAATAGTCATCTTTAATTGTGTGTACAATCAACAATGTATACTCGGATTTTGCTAAACACCGTAGAAACGTGCGGGTTCTCATAGCCATACTTTACTAGGATGTTCTGAGAGTTTCATCCAAACCGATCTACCCTATATGCTTGCTAAAGTTGAATGTAGCGATGTCACAGGTTTTATCACAATGAATTCAGGATTTTACTAACGAAGGAACCTTTTGAGGTGATAGATCGCGACTCGGACTATTTTCATCATGCCGACCATAACTAGTCAGCCACCTATATGTTTTGAAAATTCGTTTTAACGCAGTTTTAGCTTCAAAGTATCGCTCGAAACTCTGTCTACAAAAAATTTACCGCGAGAAATTCGTTTAAAAAGAATAGCACCCGAAGCGCGTGTCGCGCGATACTTTAAAGCTACATTCGTTTCAACTGAGTCAAAAGCGCAAAAAATTCGGTGCCGTTCGCGAGTCTTAAAGTCTACTGCGACTAAAAACGCGTTTTTAAAAAGTTATGATGGTCATTCTCGCGAATTATTGATGGCAAAAGCGCAGTTTTTATTAAAGCTCAAGAAATTCGCCGTATTCATGGCGAAACTGTATATTCTCGCGCTCTATGAATGCTAAAACCGCGTAAAAAACAATTTTCAAAAGATATAGGGGACTGGTTGGGTAGTGAGTAGTGAAAAAGCCCTAGTTGGTTTGTCTCCATGATGCTTTGGAGTGAAGTTGCAGAATTTTCGAATATTTTCTACGACAAAAATGAAGAAAATGAGCTCGTATTTTGCAGTATTCACCATTAAAATTAACAGCATATTTCGAATTAGCGTTGAAAACTGTGCTGAGCAACCTGTGCTTGGAAATGTTTATGCAACTCTGGTTTTTTTGAATTTTTCGACCCATATTTTGCTGAAAAGGGTGCTCAATGCAGCTTTTAACGCTAATTCGAATTAAGATGTTAGTTTTGAGAAAAAATTGAAATTTAATGGTGAAAACTGCAAAATACGAGTGCATTTCTTTGATTTTTGTCGTGGAAACAGCTGAAAAATTCTACAACTTCATCTTAAAGCATTATGGGGACAAATCAACTTGGGCTTTTTCACTGCTCACTGTGGCCTACATGATGAAAATAATCTAAGTTGAAAAGCGATTATCATCTCATAAGACAAAAAACACTCGGCTAATTTGTATGTGATTTTTCAAAACCTACGACAAATTCCTGTCGGCTTCAGGGCACGTAGCGCTGACTATTCAATTATAAGGGAACGGAACCTGTAAGAGACGTATACAGCTTTATCATTGTTTCGTGACCTAGCACAGTTCATAAAAAAAGTGCTCGATTGTGGAATCGCCTTGTGCAATTTAGGCGCTTTGAATGCAGAGCATAAGTTATCACCAAAGAAAAATATTTCTTTCCAGTAGTCTAAACAAGGGTAAAAATTTTCTAAAATTTCAAAATTAACCTACAGTAGAGATCTTCGGGGCACTCTCACCCTTCCCTAATCAGAGTAGGGTGACTTTGAAAAGTTACAATGATCGCAAAAAGTATATATTCCACTTTTGAGTTAGTAAGGTATAGGAGTGAATACATTAGATAGCTTTATAATATTCATTACCTCGACTTGCCACTCGATGAATCAAACTATTTTTAAATGATTCACACTGCACCTTGATTGTGTGAATCAACAATCACTTCGTACTCTTTACTATATGTTGGCGTGCAAATTCGATACATAGGAAATGAATTTTAGACTTTTCGGAAAAACAAAAAGCTTACCCAATTCCAAGCCATTTTTATATAACCATGATTGACAGCTAGGATGACAATATATTTGTCTTTATTTGCATGTTTCTGAACAAGAACTTTTTCACTTTGTCTGTAGTTTTGTTCAAACTGACAATTAGTAGAATCAGTTCTTAAATATTGACAACGCAATATTAAATGTGCATTATCGATTGTACCCAGTTTATAACTTTCGCCTGATCTGTCGTGAGTCAGTTCATTATTATATTTAGCTCCAAACCGGATCCAATGATTTGTCCTTATTGATATATTATACTGCTGCTGATGTATAATTAAAGTTGAATTTGTTATATCAATAACAGTTACATTTGTGGCTAGTAGAAATTCACTTAACAGCCAATTATCCCATCTATAGATGCCACTTAGAAATGGTGGCATACGTTTTATTATTGTATGATTTTGATCATTTAATTTATAACATATAAGATCAATACCAGATGGACCATGTAAACGACCATTGGATAATAGTACATCACTAATAACCGATTGAAAATTTGCTGTCTTATTTACAATCTGCAAATCTGTTCGTTGTGATATCGCAACAAATTCGTCTTTTTGCTTGTTCATGAAGTCTAATACATATGTGAGATTTTTATGTAAAATAATATCTCCATTAACATACACTTTTATTTTAGTCACCGCATATTTCTCCGCTATATCAAATACACAATTGATAAAAGGACGTTTATAGATTGGATGTGAACACGATAAATCAGAAAGAATAAAACACTGTATATTGGGATAAATAGAATAAATGTATTGGCAGGAGAGTTTAGATGAAAAATCAAATATAAGAATTATATGTTTCTCTTTCACACCAAGTTTTGTCCAACTTTCAATGGCATTTGTTTGAATATAAAAGGAATCATTTATATTTGGCA